TTTTTTGAGTCAGAGTCTCACTCTGTTGCCAGGCACCAGGCTGGAGTGCAGTGGTGCAACCTCAGCTCACTGCAACCTCCACCTCCCAGGTTCAAGCAATTCTCCTGCCTGAGACTCCTGGGTAGCTGGGACTACAGGTGCGCGCCACCACGCCCAGCTAATTTTTCTATTTTTTAGTAAAGATGGGGTTTCACCATGTTGGCCAGAATGGCCTCAATCTCTTGACCTGATGATCCGCCAGCCTTGGCCCCCAAAACTTTTTTTTTTTTTGAGACAGGGTCTAATTCTGTTGCCTAGGCTAGAATGCAGTGGCACAATCATGGCTTACTGTAACCTCAAACTCCTAGGTTCAAATGATCCTCCTGCCTCAGCCTCCTGAGTACCTGGAACTATAGGCATACAGTACCACCAAATTTGGCTAATTTTTCTTTTTACTTTTTTTTGTAGAGGAGGGCTCTTGTTAACATTAGCCAGGCTTGTCTCAAACTCCTAGCCCCAAGCAATCCTCATGCCTCAGCTTCCCAAACTGCTGGGATTACAAGGAGTGAGCCACCTTGCCTGCCATTTAAAATTTTTGAATACAATTTAGCATCTTTCATTTCTATTGACCACTTCTTTACTATACATTTTCATATATGTTGCCCATTTTTCTGCTGGTGCTTTGGTTGTCTTATTGGTTTGTAAAGTATCTTTTGGATATGAAGAAAATGAATCTAGTTATTAGTCAAATTATGGCAAATAATTTTTCCATGTCTGTATCATTTTATTCACTGAAGGTCTTGAATTGGATATTAAATATATCTCAACTTCTAGATTTCATGTTCTCCTTAGAAGATCTTCATTACTCCAAGTAATCCAGGCTTTCTTTCACAACTTTTTTTTGAGAGAGTCTCACTCTATCACCTAGGATGGCGTACAGTGGCATGATCTCGGCTTGCTGCAACCTCTGCTTTTCCAGTTCAAGTGATTCTCCTGCCTCAGCCTCCAAAGTAGCTGTGCCACCATGCCCAGCTAATTTTTATATTTTAAGTAGAGACAAGGTTTTGCTACATTGGCCAGGCTGGTCTCAAACCTCTGGCCTCAAGTGACCTGCCTGCCTCAGCCTCCCAAAGTGCTGGGATTACAGGCCCTTCCATAATTTTTATGGTTTCATTTATCACCTATACTGTAATCTTTCAGGAATATCAGTATAAAAAGTGAGGCAAAGATAAGAGACTGCCAACATCACTGATTAATGAACTCTGTTTTCATCAGTTGCAGCATAATCTAAATACCCATGCACATTTGCATTGATTTCTGCACTCCATTCTTTTCCACAAAAATCCTAGTATTTCTTCTCTAGTACTAGCCTATTTTAACCTACTGCAGCATCGGAATATGTTTCATCATCTAGTAGGGCCTTCCCCCTCTAAAGAGAATTGTTACAGTTCTCCTGGCCCTCTCATTTTTCTCAGGTAAACTTCAGTGTATTCTCCCCCAAAATCCTGTTGGTGTTTTATGGTGGATGATGTACCCATAGGATGAGACATATAGTTATTAAAAATAGGCTGGGTGGCCAGGCACAGTGGCTCATGCCTATAATCCCAGCATTTTGGGAGGCTGAGGTGGGCGGATCACTTGAAATCAGGGGTTTGAGACCAGCCTGGCCAACATGGCGAAACCCCATCTCTATAAAAATACAAAAATTAGTCTGGCATGGTGGCATATGCCTGTAGTCCCAGCTACTCGGGAGGCTGAGGCAGAAGAATCACTTGAACCCAGGAGGTGGAGGTTGTAGTGAGCTGAGACTATACCACTGCACTCCAGCCTGGGCGACAAGAGAGAAGCTCCATCTCAAAAAATAAATAAATAAATAAATAAATAAATAAATAAATATTTAAGGTTCAGAATAGTATTAATTTTGAGCTTTTAGTGGTATTTAGATGGAAAGAGTAAAAATTAAACAGCGTATGTATGTCAGGTACCTATGTCAGCGGAGGTAAGACATGCAAATTATTAGACTATAGGGAGATAAATGCAATCGTGGAAGGTATCGAGGCCCCGTACAGCAGGAGGTCATTAACTAGCTGCCTGGAGGAAATGACAGACAGGACGCAACAAGAGCTATCTTAATTTTAAATACTCGACATCTTATTCGAAATTGAATCTTGACTTTGTAAGAACTTGGTATCTTCCAATTTACTTACAACATTTTTCTTTTTTTCTTTTTTTTTTTTTTTTTTGAGACAGAGTTTTGCTCTTGTTGGCCAGGTTCGCGTGCAATGGTGTGATATTGGCTCACCGCAACCTCTGCCTCCCAGGTTCAAGCAATTCTCCTATCTCAGCCTCCTGAGTAGCTGGGACTACAGGCGCATGTCACCATGCCTGGCTAATTTTTGTATTTTTAGTAGAGATGGGGTTTCATCATATTGGTCAGGCTGGTCTCAAACTCCTGACCTACGGCAAACAACTCGCCTTAGCCTCCCAAAGTGCTGGGATTACAAGTGTGAGCCATCACACCCTGTCTTACTTAGAACTTTTTGCAAACGTTAAAGTATTAAAATTTTCTTCATATAGATGTTGATTATTTCTTACACCTAAGTATTTTACATCTAAGTATTACATCTATACTTATAGATGTACTTACAATATACTTACAATTTTGTTTTAAATTTTTTAATATTTTTCTTTTTGAGATGGGGTTTTACTATGTTGCCCAGGCTGGTCTTAAACTTCTGGGTTCAAGCTGTCCTCCCACTTCAGCCTCCCAAAGTGCTGAGATCATAGGCCTGAGCCACTTCACCCTGCCTGATTATTATTATTCATAGGCTGTTTACTTCCACCAATTTTCTAACTGGTTTTGTTTGCATAAGAAAAAAACTAACAATTCTTGCGTATTAAGGTTAGAACTAGCTAATATACTGAATCCTTACTGTGTCTCAGTTTTTTGGTGAATTTCAGTTTCCACAATATAAAAGATCACTTGCAAAAAATTTTGCCTTCTCTTTTATAATATGTATAATTCTTTCTTCTTATTGAACCGACAAATACTTCCTGAACAAAATTAAATTACAATAAGATTATAATAAATTACAATTATTATAATCTTTATAATTATATATATATAAAATTATAGTTCTTATATTTTTCTTGACACTTGTGGGAACTCTCCTAGAGATTACCATTAAGCTGGCTTTTTGCTTTAAACAGGAAGTTCTTGTCATCTGAGTGTTTATAATCCAAGTCCTAGCAGTTTTCAAGTTTACACAGGGAAACAAATCAAGACACAAAAATGTTCACTTATCAGCTGAGCCATACAAGACTTATTCCCACTCAAGTATTCCTCCTCCCTGTTTATCATCTACCCTTGCTCAACTGTACGACTGTATTATAAACATGAAGGAGGCCTATCACATAATTTTATCTCACAAATTATGCCAAAAACCCCAAGAGTTCAATCTATATTCAAAGAATTAGTATAACTGCAACTATAACTTAAACTCCTGCCCCCAACTATTAACTATGAAATTGTGCTTCCCATTAAAAATAGATTCCAGGCTGGGTGTGGTAGCTTATACCTGTAATCCCAGCACTTTGGGAGGCCAAGGCAGGCAGATCACTTGAGGTCAGGAGTTCAAGACCAGCTGGGTCAACATGGAAAAACTTTATCTGTACTAAAAATATAAGAATTAGCCAGCCGTGATGGCGCGTGCCTGTAATCCCAGCTACTCAGGAGGCTGAGGCAGGAAAATCACCTGAACCCAGGAAGCAAGGTTGCAGTGAGCTGAGATTGCACCACTGTACTCCAACTTGGGTGACAGAGCAAGACTCCATCTCAAAAATAAACAAAATAAAAATGGATTCCATTTTTCTAGTCAACTGGTAAGGGTCTCGTAGAGAATTTTCAAACATGGGAAGGAAATATACACTACTTCTTCTTGTACTGAAGTTCAATCACCTCCACACCTTCCCACCACCAATAACTCAAGAGTCTATCCTAAACTTTGGTCAAATGCTTTTAGGGAAGCTCCTGAGATGATCATACAAACACTGGAGATAGAGTCAGTGTAATATTTAAGAGTACAGCCTCTGGAACCTACTAATTACCTGGGTTTAAATCCTAGCTCCACCACACATGTACTGTGGGAACTTTGACTAGTCAATCTATAGTTTATTTTCTTTATAAAACACGACTATTAACTACCTCATAGACTAGCTCAATTAACTGAGCTAATACCATAGAAAGCACGCGGGAGAGCAGTCTAGTGTATAGTAGGTACTCAACAAGGGCAAGCTATTATTATTATTACTCTTTTCTGATGTATTTGTTTGGTGTATTACGTTAGCATATTTCTTGGTGATTACTCACCTTTGCAACATGAGGATAAATGCTACTTAGCTGTGGTGAAATATTCTTTTAGTATATTGCTAATTTCCATTTGCTAATATTTTAAAATGTCATATTACTGTTCATAACAGATCATGTTGTCATTTTTTTTTTCTTTTTTTGTAAGACAGGGTCTCACTCTGTCACCTACGCTGGAGTGTAGTGGTACAATCATGGCTCACTGCAGCCTCAACCTCCCAGACTCAAGCAATCCTCCCAGCTGGGACCACACACGTGCGCCACATGCCTGGCTAGTTTTTCACTTTTTTGTAGAGACAGGGTTTCCCTGTGTTGCCCAGGCTGGTCTGGAACTCCTTGGCTCAAGCAATCCTCCCACCTCAGCCTTCCAAAGTGTTGGGATTATGGGCATAAGCCATGACACTCAAGTAAGTTTTTAGTTTTAATTCTATCTTCACATCAAGTGCCAGTGTCAATGTTCCACTGGCTTTGTAAAAAGAATATGTGATTTCCCCATCAATATACTGTGTAACAATTTAAATCTTATAAAATTATCTGTTCCTTGAAGTTTAAAAAAGAGTTTACCTGTAATACCATCTGAGCCTGGAGTTTGGCAGGATGATAGCTTTTTGATAATGTTCCCAATTTCTTCCATTGTTTTTGTTCTATTATGTTCTCTCTTCTGGAGTCAATTTTGATAAATGGATTTCCTTTAAAAAAAAAAAAAAAAGAATTCTGGTTTAATTCATATGGTCTTTTTTTTTTTTTTGTAGAGACAGGCTCTCACTATGTTGTCCAGGGTGGTCTCAAACTCCTGGGCTCAAGTGTTCCTCCCGCCTTGGCCTCCCAACATGTTGGGATTACAGGCATGAGCTACTACGTGTAGCCTATTTTTATTTCAAGAGACAGGGTGCGGTGGCACACACCTGTAATATGCACTCTGCAAGGCTGAGGTGGGCAGATCATGAGGTGAGGAGGTTGAGATCATGCTGGCTAACACGGTGAAACCCTATCTCCACTAAAAATACAAAACAATAGTTGGGCATGCTGGTGCATGCCTGTAGTCTCAGATACTTGGGAGACTGAGGCAAGAGAATTGCTTGAACCCAGGAGGCGGAGGTTGGAGTGAGCCTTGATCATGCCACTGCACTCCAGCCTGGGTGACAGAGTGAGACTCTGTCTCAACATCAACAACAAAAAAGACAGGGTCTTGCTGTTACCCAGACTGGAGTACGGTGGTACGATCATGGCTCACTGCAGCCTGGGCCTCAGTCTCCTGAGTAGTTAGGCCCACAGGCACATGCCACCATGGTTGGCTAACTTTTAAAAAGCATTTTTTTTTTAGTGCAGAGAGGGCTTCACTATGTTGCCTAGGCTGGTCATGAACTTCTGGACTCAAGTGATCCACCTGCCTTGGCTTCCCAAAGTGCTGGGATTACAAGCTACTGCCCCCATCCAATACTTGCTGTTTTAAAAAATTATTTCTAGCCTGTGTTCTTACGTTTCCTTTTTTTTTTGAGTAGGGTTATCAGTTTATCTAATTTATAACCTTCCCTCTCCTAGCAAAGAAGCAGCTTGTGAATTATCAATTTTACTTTTTTTTTTTTTTTTTGAGACGGGATCTTGTTCTGTCACCCAGGTTGGAATGCAGTGGTGTGATCTCTGTCACCCAGGCTGGAGTACAGTGGCTCGATCTCAGCTCACTGCAACCTCCACCTCCCGAGTTCAAGCAGTTCTACTGCCTCAGCGTCCCGAGTAGCTGGGATTACAGGCATGTGCCACCACACCCAGCTAATTTTGTATTTTTAGTAGAGATGGGGTTTCTCTGTGTTGTTCAGGCTGGTCTTGAACTCCTGACCTAAGGTGATCCACCAGGCTTGGCCTCCAAAAGTGCTAGGATTACAGGTGTGAGCCACCACACGAGCCTATTCTTTGTTTCTTAACCTGACTGTTTAAGGCTATGTACTTTCCTTTGAGCAAAACCCTTACTACTACTTAAGAGAGTTAGCATTTCATCTCAACTCTTCTTGCTTCTGTGTCCCAAAATCTTCAGTAAGTCAGTCTTGGGTTGCTATTCACAACAAAAATAGGATTAAAAGAAAAAAAAAGGTTCCAGAATATCATCCATTCCCTCTCTTCTCTCCCTTTCTTAATGTACTGAGGTTTGGAGCTTAATATGATTAACTTTAAAATATATTCTAGACACTGAAGTTTGTCAGGCTATTAAGTTTGATGATTATTGGTCTACTATATCCTTACTTTTTACTATTTCAGCTGATAGGTATGAGTTAAAAACTCTTAGTAGTACACTTACAAACTAAGATTAATCAATATTTTAAGTATTAAAACTTAGTACAAAAATGCTTGATACCTATGTACCTATGTAATGCTTCGTACTTCTTCAGTTTCAGAACTGAACAATGTTAAATCAACACGAATATCCAGATTAATGTACATATTACATGATATTGTGACAATTTATGAATGTCAAAACCATTTTACATATTGAGCACACAAAATATTTTTAATTCTAAAGTCACCACCTACAAGTTGTTTACATATGCTCCTTGATAGTACAAGCCAAGTTATTTGTGAACTTGAACAACAATAAAAATTTTGCCCACGTTCCCTTTTTTTCCTGGAATAGTACTTGTATTACTTTTTGAAGTTTTGCAAATAAAGGTGACTTTATGACTCTGTGTGAGAATGGGGACTATTACTACACAAGCAGAAAACTACAGCTAACAGAAGTTAACCATTTATTGGCCACCATATCAAACTATTTTAAAAACATTACTATAAATTGAGATTCTCCGATTTAAAAACTAGGCCTAGATGGGGGAAAAAAATGTTATGAAACCCTCCCGGACTTCACAGATTTAAAGCTTTTTCTCTAGTTTAATCCTACAGACCAGGATGGTGTGAACAGATTCTTAATTTAGCAACAGAAGGATAATGTGTACAGCATTCTTTGGTAATGGAGTTTAGAATTTTGCATGTTTACCTATACTGTGAACATGGTTAAATTTCTTTGCTAAACTGATCTTTATATTTTTATTCATTAACGTGGATAATTCTTTGCAATCTATTGCAAAATTTATTTACCATAACTTTACACTTGTTTGCAATGTAAAACAATCTATCGCATCACAAGGAAGCAAAGTTAATGAACTTCACTTTCAAGCAACTACAAGTGTCAAGCTTCTGTGACTGAGAAAATAGCGTAAAATCTAAAACCTTAATTTACAGCCTACATGGATAAGCATGATCCAGATATGACCCCAGCACAAAGGTCTCTGCAAAAACTGGGGAGAGGGTGATTCCAATTCTCAAAGGATATGAATTTCCACTAGTCAGCAGGTCTGAGTCAGCATTCAGAACAAGATCAGCCCGGGTCTAGTTCTAGTTATGAAACTATCTTGCCACTATAAAGACAAAGCAATATCTGATTTTAAAATACACTAATCTGTGTTTGCTTTCATCTAACGAACAAGAGATCAGATGAGTCAACTCCTAATTTATTTTCTCCTGAGATGCGCTAAGGGCGATTCCAGTTGCAAAGCGATATCCTGTGCTCTGAACCACTATGGGACCTCAAGAGTCCTAGCACCTTTTGATCCTACGGAATCCTTTCAAAGCACGGGCAGAGGAGGCTCAAAATGGCAAGGTCACTATACATTTCAAGGGCTTCTGTTTCACAGATTGAGTAGAAACAGAGGGTGGGAATTATGATCAGCCAGGTAGGCCTGTGAGGTGCAAAGCAAAGATTATGCAGAAAGTTGAGGTGCTCACATATTTCATCTAGCTAAACTTAACACCAAATAATGGATGGAGACTAACACCACCACCACCACCGTCCCCGAAAATCCTTATACAAGTGAGCTTCCTACAACGCGATGCAACATGGTGTCGCAGAACAAGCACTGCCAGGCTACGTAGCTGAACTTACCGTTCTCCAGGCGTCCACTTCCCCAACCTGTGAAAAGCGGGGAGGGGGTTGGACAAGATCACTAAGTCGTTTTCCGTCTCTGACACTCCACAGTCAGGGGTCCAGAGGAGACCGAAATCCCAATCTCCCGGGAGGCAGGGGCCCCCGTGCGGTGCCAGCCCCGCTCTCCCCCAGGCGCAGGCAGAGCCCGGCTCCTCCCCGCCCCTGCGGTTACGGCGCACCAGTGAGGTGCCTCCCCAGCCCAAGACGCACCCGTGTGAAGGCACTGCCTCCTTCGCGCGAAAGGTCGCCCAGAAGCCGGACAAACACTCTCTCGCGGTAGGCGGGAGAGCCGGGAGCCGAGGAGGCTCAGAACTGATTCCGCGCGCGCCGCCTGGGCGGGGCCCACAGTGCCCGGGCCAGGGCAGCCGGCGCGCAGAAAACAGGGGTGGGCCCGCAGGGCGGCCGGCTGCTAGGATGGGCCCTTCGGCGCATTTCCCCTCCCTGCAACCACATAAGAGGGAGGCCGGATGCTTCCCCACGCCCGCCCCTCACTCACCCATCGCCGCCGGCGTCCCGGAGGACTGCGTGCGAACCGGGGCCCGCGCAGGCGCAGACCGTGATCGACCCCGGGGCGGGGGCGCAGTGCGACGCACTCGGCGCCGTTAGGATCACGTGAGGGAGACACTGCCCCGCCACCTCTCCCTCGGCCCGCGACCCGCGGCCCGCCAGATGTCACCAGCCTACTTCTTCGGGCCGCCGGCCGCCGCGGCGGGGCAGGTGGAAGGCCACCCCATCACACCTGTCAGGCTGCGAGGCTGCGCTAGCCGGGTTGCTTCACTCTTGATGCCGTACGGTGGCCTCAGCGTGCCAGAAACAGCCAACGCTTTCTGTAGCGCGCTGCCTGCAGGGGGCGTCTGGGTATTGGCGGGTTTGGGGGCATTGTCGGTTTTCGGAGCACGAGCGACTTTGCAGAAAACTCGAAAGTGCTGTCCTGGCCCCTCTGTGGAGCATTGTTGGGTGTCTTCAAACCTTTAGAGCAATCTTTTATCAGTGACCCATGCCGCGGTTTACAGAAGAACGCTTTGTGCGTGCTTTGGGACGTTCGGATCACTTTTAAACTTTTTGCTTTGAAGCTCAGACAACCTGCGGGGGTCTTGGGAGAAGCGCTACCCGGGAGTTAGAGGGCTTGGGTCAAAGTCATAGTCCTCATACTTCTTGAAAGTGACCTTGGACGAGTCGCTGGACCCTGAGCCCCAATTCCAGTTGAAAAAGGGCCTTTGCCTCAAAATTACGTTTGCCCTGTATTGTGTGAATGCCCCGTCTGAAAAGTAACCCGTGCCTTGTATGCGTCTCTGAGCTGTTGTAGGGGTCTTTGGAAATGATGGTTCCGACTCCGGGTTGGAAACTGGAACGCGTACAAGAGATGGGAGGCGTTAAAGGGAACGGAAAGGGCGGCCTGAGGCAGAGGCGTTTCAGGAGGCTTGTGGACGTGTGAAGTGTGTGTCCTGTGCTTTCGGCAGCCCAAACAGTAACCCCGCCCGAGTGAAGCGTTCTTGGGGGGATCGGCTCCGGGTGGGCGATGTTCCCCGCGGGTCCCCTTCCCCCGAGAGCACTTTGTAGACTCTGACTCCAGAAGTGGGTCTGGTCTTTGCCGAGTCCCGCTTTGGTTGCCGCGCTTAGCTGCCTCTCAGGAAGCTGGAGACCACGCTCCCCATTCCAGCAAATGCTGCGTTGAGGAACCTACTGCGTGCCAGGTTCTGGGGAGCTTAGCGTCTGGCGAAGGATACCAAAACAAAAGTCTGGAAATTCAGAAGCATGAGGGGATCTCCCCCTTGAGAGAGAACCAGAGATGGCTTCACAGAGTAGACGTTTGAACTGGGCCTTGGAGGGTAGGTGACTGGAATTTGGCCCAGTGGAGAAAGTCATAGTAGCAGGAGATAAGACTGTAAGGGTCAGGTGGTGGAGCTGGATGGTGCGAATCTTGACTGTCAGACGCAGGCACCTGCCATCTCATTAGTATGCGAGGGGTAGATTTTGGACTCCGAACGATAAGGACAAGGCTATACAATGGCTTAGGACAATTAATCAGGCAACAGTTGGAAAGGGCCTTTGCCTCAAAATTATGTTTGCCTTGTCTTGTGTGAATGCCTATTGAGATGTATTATTCGAAAAATAAATAAACCAGACAGGCATCCAGCATGTTCATAAACATAAATAATTAATTTCAAATTAGAATGGAGAGGTTATTCTCCTGCGGTAAAACCTGAACAAGAAGGAAAAGATTGAAATTAAACACACAGTTGGGGCACACTAGACTCAGAAAATCCCAAGTTAACGGGAACGCTCAAGTCTGGAGCTGAGCCAGTCTGCTGCTTTTATGCTGCAGGCCACAGCACGGGCTTCTGCTCCTCCAGCTCTCAGTTCCTTGTCAGAAATTCCCAGGCCCATAATTGGCTCTTCTTGGGCATATGAATGTTGGGGATGAAACCCTCTATTTTTGGATTCGGGATCCATCATAAAGTTATTAGCACTTCATTTCTGTCCTCATCCACCTATTCCTGCATTCCATACCTCCAGCCACTATGTCAGCTGCCAGATATCCTCTAACCCAGCTGTGATCATGTCATCCCCCAGCTTGAAAATCTCCAATGGTTCCCTCTTGCTTCCTCCAGTAAATCCAAACTCCTTAACTTGGTGCATGGACTGTCCTTTCCTGGCCCTTTTGCCAGTCTGTCCATCTCAACCCCAACTATCTTCTATGTTTTAGCCACATGCAGTCTCAGTGTTTTGCAAATTCTGTGTTCCTTAAACCAGTTTCCCCCTTTCACCAGTGTCACACAAGCTCTTCACCAAATATGTTAGCCCTTCAAGGTCCTTTTGGCTCCTCTTCCTCCTAGAAGCCTTCCCTGATCATCTCAGGCAAGGTTGACTGTTCTTGCCTCTGCCTTCCCATGACAGAGTTTGGGGGGGCGCTTCTGACATCCTGTCCTATGTTGTAGTCACTTATGAAGGTGTGATCTTTCTCACTGCCAGCTCATAAGGGCAGAGCTGTCTGGCTTTTTCCTGGCTCTCCAACTCAGTGCTTGGCACAAAGGGTGCCTAGAACATGTTTGCCAAAACAAAATGCAGGTGGAGAGCAGAGCTGTTGGAAGGGAGGACCTGGGTTCCTGGGGGAAAGGATCATAGGAATGTTGCTAGTGGATCTTTGCTTCATCACCCTCCACTCTTCCCCCCAAAAAATGCTTTCTATAAAGCTGTCTGGTGCCCTCAGACTTCATGGGCTCTTAGGCGCATGAAAACAGCCTTACACAAACTGTCAGTGGAGTCTCAGCTACTGTGAGTGGCTCTGCCCAGATAAGGTCACCTGAGGTCATTCCCTAACAAGGGGTCAGTGATCTTCCTTTCTCTTCAGCTCATATTTTCGAGGCCCCTGCAATCATTGCCAATCTCTGCCACTCCCCTTCACACCCCTCAGTACCAAATGGCAAAGGGCCACCCAGCCACTTGTTCCCTTCCCTTAACTTGTGTATTCTTTTCATGCCCCTATGCTTGTGTATGTTTTGTCCTCTGTGCCTAAAAGGTCTTGTTTGCTTCATAACAATGTCCTGTTCCTCTTTCATGGCTCAGTTCAGAGGCTTCTGGTCACTGCTACCCCATCTGACCTCACTACCTCCTGCTGCAGAGCCCCTTGGTGCTGTCAGCTCCACCCTCCCTGGCTCCCACCCCCTGTTCTTGTGGTCTGTCCCCATGGCTGGTCTGTGAACTCCAGGACCTTCTCCCTTTCTGCTTCACTCATGTCCAAACCTGCTTTGATCCAGCAACTCACATGCATCTGTATTTATACATATAAAGGAGACCCAGGGTTTACCCCACAAGCTTGTGGGATTGTTTGTTCTCTTCCATTTACCCATTCATTTATTTAAATGCTGGTGGGGACCCACTGAATCAGTGATTCTTAGCCCTGTTTCACATTAGAATCATCTGAGAAGCTTTGAAAACAACACAACAAAACAACTCCCACGCTCCCCTCCTCCCAGAGGTTCTGATTTAATTGGTTTGCAGTGGGACCTGAATCTTAGTGTAGTTTAAAAGCTCCCCAGGTGTGCTGAGGTTGAGAACAGCGCTCAATTCTTGCTTCCCCAATGTGCCTGAAGATAAGACTCTCTTGAATTTGGCCAAACTACCTATGGGCCATACACTGAGGGCATCAGCATTGAGTCACTCAGAAGTTTGTTAGAAATGAAGATTTCTGGCCCGAGTAAACCAGGATTGGTATTTAACAAGTTCACCAGGTATGCTATGTTCACATTACAGATTGAAAAGCATTGACTTAGATTCTAGGTCCTAGAAGTTTGAGTTTGAGACTAGCCTGGGCAACACAGTGAGACCCTATCTTTAAAAAATAAAATAATTAGCCAGACATGGTGGTGCACATTTGTAGTCCCAGCTACCTGGGAGGCTGAGGTGGGAGAATTGCTTAAGTCTGGGAGGTTGAGGCTTCAGTGAACTGTGATCATACCACTGCACTCCAGCCTGGGAGACAGAGTTAGACCCTATCTCAAAAAAACCCAACATACATATCATCAGTTCTAAGACAGACTAAATCAGAATTCCCAGGAGAGAGGTCAGTTGGCCTGTATACATTTAACACTAGCCCTAGCTGACTCCTCTCAGGCAATTTTGGGAAATAATAGCTTTAAATTGACATCCTGACCCATAATAGTGACCTGTGGTTTGAAACACAGGGTCCTGCAGGGCTCAGGAATGCGTGAGTGAATGAGCCTGCAGCCCAGAGGGGAAACAGTCCTAAGGAGAAATGATCTGCATTGGTTGAGATCTGCATATACCAAGTGCTATGAATGTTGATGGGAGAGGGAAGTTGTACCAGCTGTAATCAGGGAAGGCTACTTGGAAAAGGTAATCTGTAAAGGAAAACTAGGATTCAAACAAGGTGGGTTCCAGAAAAAGCATGGGATGGAAAAAAGTGTATAAGAAAGGACGGCTGGGCATGGTGGCTCATGCTTATAATCCTAGCTACTTTGGGAGGCCGAGGTGGGCAGATCACCTGAGGTCAGGGGCTCGAAGACCAACATGGTGAAACCCTGTCTCTACTAAAAATACGAAAATTAGCCAGGTGTGGTGGCACATGCCTATAATCTCAGCTACACCAGAGATTGCTCTCCAGCCTGGGCAACAGAGACTCTGTCTCAAAACACACACACACACACACACACACACACACACACACACACACACGAGACACCGGATGGCTCTTTCTCCGAGACTCTGTCTCAAAACACACACACACACACACACACACACACACACACATACACACACGAGACACCGGATGGCTCTTTCTCCTTAACATAATTTCTATACCCCGGCTTTTTCTCCCAGCACACCACAGGCAAACCTCATGTCCCTGGCAACTCTTAGAGCTCAGAAAGGTTGCTGACCTCTGGGTAAGATCAGGGACACCTTACTTGTTGTCTGAGTGACACATACTTGTGAAATGCAAACACATTTTTACCTAGCAAGGGCCAAGTCAATGAAACAAGAAGCATTTGCACAACACTCTGTGGATTTCCCAAGCAGCCACATAATATGTCATTTCCTCTGATTTTCACATACTTTGTGACCTCAAAGAAGTCTCATGATCCGAGTTCTGTACTTAGCAAGAGATGAGGCTGC